CCCCCCCCTCCCCATTCCTGCAGTGAGTTTGTGGGTGCTCTGCTAAGCCTCAGGAAAGGGGAAACCCTGCTTTGCCCTCCCCCCCCCATACACCTCTCCCCCCCAGCACATCTGCCGAGGTGCCCTCAGCAAAACATCTGGAACAACTGGGAAACAGGGAGGGGGGTCCCAAAATGCCTCGACTCACCCACTTTTCTCATAGTCTCCAAGTTCCACAGACAACCTCGAAACATGGGGCTCAGGGGGGCAGTGGGGCAGGGCTGGTTGGGTATTTTTCAGTGCAAATCCTCCCCTCTCTGCACAGGGGCACCCACACCCAGTGCCAGGCACCATTTCCCAACCCCCCTTCCTCTTTTCCTCTCCCCCCGTGTGTTTGCTCAGGTTTTGTTTCCTCATTCCAGCGCGGTGCAAGAGGGAGAACTAGCACAGAACCAGAGGTCAAAAATGACAACTTTGCCCCCCCAGGAGGGTGGAAATCTCTTCCCCAAAGCTCCCCTTGCAGACCCCGCAGCTCTCACTGCCCTGCCCCTCTCTCCTCACAGCTCCTGGGGACATGGCTCTACGTGGCCGGGGCTGCCCAGTTCCCCCAGCACCTCCTGGAGATGCTGCTCATCGACCATGGCTACCTCCACGTGGAGCCCCACGTTGGGGAGCAGGAGCTGCTCCTCACCCAGCACGTGGCCATGTAAGAGGCAACCTTTGGGTCTTGGTTCCCTCATCCATCTCCTCAGGTCTCTGCCCACCCATCTCCTCCCACCTGCTGCTGCTGTTTCAACATGACATACAAGCACAGTTTCAGACTGGTTTTCCCAAAGAGGGGGTCTCTCCTAGACCAGGTCCATCCTGGTCTAGTGGGACGTGTCCCTGCCCAAGCAGGAGGGTTGGAACTAAATGTTCCTTAAGGTCCCTTCCAACCCAAACCATTCCATGATTTTATGTTCCACTCTGTTCTTCACCCCTTCTTTAATTTATTTATTTCAACACACCCCCCCCAGATTTAGGCCAATTTTGCAGGGCACATAGGTCTTGCAGGCACCAGTCCCTGCAGATGCAGAGGACACAAGCAAGGGGAAGACCTCTCCAGAGGAGGAGACCTTTCCAGAGGTCCCTGTGCCCCAGCTGATAACTGCTGGGCACCAAAATCAGTTTCCTTCCCAAGGTCAGATTTTTCTCTGCCAACACAGGCAGCTTTTTGCAGCTTCTGTTACCTTGGGGTGGAAAACATCTCAGCAACAAGGAGCTGGGGGCAAAGGCAAGGAGGTCAGACAAAGGCAGGGGAGAAAAGGTGTGTGGGCAGTTAATCCTGCAGCAGAGCCAGCACAGTTGGGATCCCACCCCATGCCCAGCATGTTCCTCATGTGGTGCCAGCACCAGGGCTGGGCTGTTGCTGGTCCTTTCCAGCCTGTGGTCAGAGTCTCCACTCTCCTTCCCCACCCTTCTCTCTCCAGAGGGGACCAGTGTCTCACCAACAACTCCACCTACTTGGAAGTCCTTGCTGGTAACACCACGCTGGTGAAGCAGGGTGAGCAGCACCGGGGGCTCAGCCATGGGGGTGATCACCGACCCTGAGACACACAAAGGGGCACATTTCACACCATCTGACACATTTTATTCCTGGGTGGCTTTATCCCTTTGAAGCCCTGGTGGGCCCCAAAAAATTTCCCAGGGCATGGGGTGGTCCCTGGGTCTAAACCTCACAAAGTGACACGTTGCCAGGGGCAAGGAGCAAAGGAAGGAGACGGCCACATTTGTAAAGTTATTTCCCAGTCCCTCAGGGAAAGGAGGGGAACGTTCGTGGCAGGTTTCAGCAAATTAATGAAGCCTCCTGTTCTGAAGTAGTTTCCTCCTCAGGGAGGAAATGGGGTGAGTCATTTGGGGTGGGAATTGCAACCTCCCAAGATACTGTTTGCACAGACCAGCCAGGTCAGCATTGCTGAGAGCAGGGGACAGTGTCTCCCCATTCTTACAGCCCACCAGGCTGTAGAGTCAGGAATTCAGGGCAGTTTATCACTGCTGTAGCACTGAGAATCTATATATCATGGCTGTTCCCAACCCCTATTCTGTTCTCTCATAGCCAAGACCCGACAAACCATGGGGACCCTTATGAACCTCAGCTCTGAAGACATTTTACTCATCCAGTTCCAACTGCAGAGGGAAAGGACGTACTTGGGGCTGTATCTCTATGGTATGCACACTCCATCCTAAGGCAGTTTAAAGTCACCATGGGACAGCAAACACACACACAAAATTACCAGCTAAAACCATGCAGCAACTTTGTGCCACCAATAGCCACTGGGTTTTCCTGAGACTGACACTCCAGGGGTCACGGGAGTTTTTTACAAACCCCATTTAAACCTTAATCTCTTGCCTGGGCAGTAAGAGAAAGTTAAAGTCCAAACCCACTTAGACCATAAACACAGAAAGAACAGGAAGCAGCTACGATTCAGCATCGATATCACCATCAAAATCTCCATATTTTTCAAGCCAACCATGACTTTTTTGGGTACTTACCTCCCAGGACAGGGTAACGTGGCTTTGCAGCACCAGCACAGGCAAAGCTGATCAGATCTACTCACAGTTCCATGAAGCAGCTTTTCAGGCCTTGATAAGGTTTCCCCAGAGCTGCAAGGAAATTGTTGAAAAGAGTTCAGAGACACACACAGAAAATGGCATCAGTCCCTCCCAATGCCCCGGGAATATCAGTGTCCTGTGAGCCCTGACAGAAGACAAGACCATGGTTGATGGGGAGGGGAGTTACAAAAAGTGAGGTTGGTTTTGTTCAGGCTCACTGGCCACAGGGAAGAGACCCCAGCAGAGCCCAGATCCACAGGCAGCACTGGTGGGAGAGGGGGTCAGGGCAGGGATGGGGCACCAAGGGACATGCTGAGGCCACTGGTTCATAATTAATGCCTGGAAAATGCATCTCCTTGCCCAGCCCGGAACCAGAGCGTGAGCCCAGCCCAGCAGGAAGAGTTTGAGGGGCAGGTCCAGTGCCTGGGGCTGAGCAAGAAGGAGATCGTGTACGCGCCGTGGAAAAGGGTACGTGTGTGCTGGGGGTGGGTGGGGGGCAGCAGAGCCCCCACCCCAGGCAGAGGGGCCAAGACCCTGGGCTGTAGCTCCTGCCCCCACACTGCAGTCTCCAGGAATTTTCAAGATGGTAGAAATTATTCAGGAGACAAATTAACCACAGGCTGGCTGTGGCAGTGACAGGGGCTGGGAAAGAAGGAGATCGTGTACGCGCCGTGGAAAAGGGTACGTGTGTGCTGGGGGTGGGTGGGGGGCAGCAGAGCCCCCACCCCAGGCAGAGGGGCCAAGACCCTGGGCTGTAGCTCCTGCCCCCACACTGCAGTCTCCAGGAATTTTCAAGATGGTAGAAATTATTCAGGAGACAAATTAACCACAGGCTGGCTGTGGCAGTGACAGGGGCTCGAAAAGAACATCCCCACACACAGATGAGTGACCCCCCAGAGCAAAGACCTGCACCCCAGGGTCACAAACTGGCAACCTCCTGCCTCCCTCTGCCAGTGGGACATGGCTGAAGCATGGGATTTTTGCCCTGAAATCCCTCATTTTGCTCCCCTATCAGAGGGGGACATGTTTTTCACATAAAAAGGAGAAGAAAACCCACTCCCTTCTTCAGTCGATTCTCTCCCTTTTGGTGCACTGGCAGTTCCACTGACCCCAGTGTTGTTGTGTTGGAAGGAGCTGTGTCAGGTGAAAGAAGTGGAAGAAGGAACCAGCTCAGGCCTGGAGCCCATGGCCATGCTCACAGTGTCACCTCCTCCAGTACCCACCAGCCCAGGTAACTAACCCCACCTTGGGCAATAAAAATCTTGCTCAACTGCCATGTGTTTTGTTGTGAGGTGGTGGAACCCTCAAGGGGCCAGAAGTGGGGCTTCCAAAAAGGATCTGAACACCTGAGTCACCTTGAGAGCCTTTCAGCCAGGAGCTGGAAACACACAGCCTTGAGCAATGAGGGACACAAGACAAGGTGACACCCGGGAGCTTTCTGCTGGTCCCCTCAGCTTCACATCAAGCTCTACTGAAGCAGTAAGAGCAGCTAACCAGAAGAGGGCAATCAGTAACTACTTGAAATGAGCGTGCCAACCATCTGATGAGTAACATATCCAGAAGGCCAGAAACCTTTAAGTGGACAGTTCATCCTCTCCCACAGAACAGTCTGAGAGGAAGAGGAGGTTTAGCTGCAAGTAACCACCCACTTCTCTTGGCAGCAGCTTATGTAACCCAGCTGGGGCAGATGTGCTGCCCAAACCCCTTGGACCAGGCCAGAGCTCCCTGATAATATTAATCCACAGGAACATGTGACAACACTGAAGAATTATCCTTGGGCCAGAAAGGGAGGGGATGCTAACCCAACTCAGGCTGGATTTTTGCTTCCTCAGAGATAAGGGAACACATTTCCTTGTTTCCCAATAAGCTCAGCACCCTGGAGGTAAGAGGGTTTGAGTGCCAAGATTGCTGTTGCTCCCCGTGCCTCCTGTACCCCCCAGGGCACCCCACACATCCCTCATCCCAGCCCCAGAGGGAGGCCAGCACTGTCACTGGGCTTGGGAACACGAGGGGGGAGTTGAAAAGAGGCTGCTTTTGCTGTGCAGCTGGAGAGTAATTCAGCCTCAGCTCTTAACCCTAGTAATTAAGCACTGAAAATATCTCTTTTCCTTATAAAGGAGGAAAAGCAGGGAAGCTGGAGGGAGCACTGGGAAGAGCAGCCCTGCTCCTCCCTCTGCAGCACCAGGGTGCCCTGTCCCTCCCTGCACAGCACCCTTCACTGGGCAGGGTTTCAAGCAAGGAGCCTTTGGCCTGATGCCTGCAGTCCAAATGACTCTTACAAGTGCAGCCAATTCCCTCCTGGTCTCAGGACACGGGAGCCTGGCCAGCCCTTGCATCAGAAACATCTTGATGTGACCCTCCAGCCTGGGGAGCACGTCAGCAAAAAGGCAGGAAAGGGCAGAGGAGGGAGAGGGGATGCTGCCAACCCTGAGTGCTGCAGCCCAGAAAGCATGGCTCAGGGTTTCAGCTGACACTGCTGGGAAGCAGGGGCTCAGATTACAAGGACTCAGACTTTATGAGTAGATTTATAGCTGAATAAAAGCCTTGAATTACAGGCAGAGACACAAGGAACCAACAAACCCAGTCTGGCCCCTGCAGCATATTTTGTCAACCAAACCAAAGGCCACTTGCACAACCAGCTATCGGTCCTGAATGACCATGAAAGGATAGCTCCCAGTTGGGCTTTTATTGAAGGAAAAACTGTAGTTTCTCTTCTGAAAACCTTGTAAGCCAGGCCCCTTCGAGGGCATAACTGAACTACAGAGTTTCCAGCTTTCCTGGGAAACTCACTGAACAGAGTTAGGGATACTACAGATCAGCTGAGTCCAGCAACACTGGGGGACAACACAGTGTCTGAACATCCACAACTCGTCAGCCTTGATCTCAGGTTTGCTGATTTTGACTTTAAGAAGAATCTTGTTCTCCCAGTTCCTCATAGTGAAAATCCTTCCCAGCTTCAGCATCCTTGATAAGAATCATCCCAGGAAGAGCCTGGTGCTGAACAGCACCAACAAACCACATCAAGAGGTGCAGACACGTGGTATCTCTTTGACAGGCCTTTATTAGCAGACTGTTCCCTACATGAAGAATCCAGGTTAAATTTGCATCATAACAATTTGTGGTTACAGCTACAAAGATGGTTGTCATTTTGCATTGATTTTTGCATTCTGATATTCATATTACCATTAGGCCACACTGGTAGGAAGGAGACACTGCAGAATTTGTGACAGGTCTCAAGAAGAGAGGGGGTGGAAAAAAAAAAAATCATATCGCTCATCCAGATTAGATTTCCACAAGGCTAACTACTGCCAGCACTGGATAGCCAAGGCAGAGCCTCACCTGGACTCTCCAGAAATCTGTCAGCAAAAAAGCAGCTGCTGAGTGCTCACAAATCCTTTTCTGATTTCTCACACTCTCCTCCAAGGTCCTGTCTGCACTGGCCCTTGGGATTTTTTGGAGATGCTTAGGTGGTTGCAGGAGTGGGTAACCAGTCCAACGTAAAAATTCTCTTGATTTTCCCCCTGGTGTGTAATTTTCCACCTTTAGCAGCTTCTCTGTGTAGAGAGCTGCCTGCCCACACGATGCTCCACCACCAAGGTGTGAGTGGAGACTCCTTTGGGTGGCACTGGTCCAAACAGGGCTCCCACTTTTTCCTTTTTTCTTTTTTTCCTTCTTCATCCTGACATGTTTTGGCCAGTTCTTTTAGCCAGGTCAGCTCTCTGAACAGCAGGAGAACTGATGTTGGTGGAGAAAGGCAGGAAACAGGAAACCATGGGGGGAATGTAGGGATAAGAGGGAGGATGCTGGACAACCAAAGCCCTTCTTAGGGTCACCTTCCACTGCTATGGAAGATGTGGCTGGCAGAAGCAGCATTCCTTTCTGTGCCCTGACTTGAAGCTACCCTCAATGAGCATGGGAACATCTCCTGGGAAGTGGCAGCCATTGCTTCTGATGGAACCAGTCTGACCAGGCACCCCGAATTCAAGGGCTTTCTTTAAAGTGTTCCTTTCAAAAGTGGAGAAAGAGCAAAATGCAAAATTTAGATCCCAACCTGCCTCTGTAGGATGCCTGGACTAGGGTATGGGCCAGATCAGGCACCTATGAATTAAAAATCTCACCTTGACCCTGCTACCTTCCAAAAGGCTCATAACTTCATAGCACTTCAATTGAATCACCACCACTACCCCCTGCCTTTATCTTCTGCAGTTCTCCCTGGGTGATAAAACACTGGAGTTTGTAAACACACTGGGATTTTGATGTGGTTTTTTAGTTCACCAGAATATTCCAAGTGACACCACTATTTGGCAACAGGGGAGGAGCCATACCCAGAGAATTATGTTCTCACACTGGAGAGCAACACCCAGCAAGGTGCTGGGGTGCTAATCATATCGCTCATCCAGATTAGATTTCCACAAGGCTAACTACTGCCAGCACTGGATAGCCAAGGCAGAGCCTCACCTGGACTCTCCAGAAATCTGTCAGCAAAAAAGCAGCTGCTGAGTGCTCACAAATCCTTTTCTGATTTCTCACACACTCCTCCAAGGTCCTGTCTGCACTGGCTCAGCAGCAGGATCAGCCGATTCAGCCTCCAAGCCTGACTGCAGCAGCTCATGTCCAAGTGCAAGTTCCCTTCCATCTCTCTGGAAACTTGCAATTTCCTTTAGACCCTGAGATTTCTCTCCTCCCCCTTACCTAAAAATTCCCCAAGTCGCTCTGAGTTAGCCATTGTGCCATCCAACATACACTGACCTTCTGCTTCCCAACTCCAGCCATCCCCCTGAAAGCCCTTCACCGTGCACAGAGGCAATTCCAAAGTAAGGCAAGTCTCCCTGTGCACCCTCTCCCCTCCTCCCCAGGCACTGCCCCCTCACCAGCTCCCTTCTCTCCTATGGCTTCTTGCTACAGAATTTCTCTGGGCTGAGGTCCTCCAGCAACAACCCCAGACGTGGGAAAGGCAGCTCAAGCCCCCAAGGGAAGGGATGCAAAGCCACCCTCCCCACGACTCAGCTGTGGGATGTAAGAGAACAAATAGAGAACTTTTTTTAAAACAGGAGAAATACAAGCACAGTAACAATATTTAAACAAGTCTATAAAAATAGTCTGACATAACTCTGTTCAAATAAATACAAAATAAATATGCTTTAAGCAGTAAAACAGTGGAATGCAACGCTGGTCCATTTTGCCCAAAATGAAAAGTTGGATGAGGATCTCTCAGGCCTCAGAAGTTAGATCCTATCAAACTCAAGTAGCCCATAGCACAGTCAGAGAAATTTTAAAGCCCTTTCCCTCAGCCTTATGAAAAGCACCCTTTGAAAGAAAAGCCAGCATGTCTTCAGGATGAAAAGCTTAACTGTCCCAGTGCCAACCAGCCCCCCTCCCTGACAGCCCTTCCCACAGCAGACACTCCTGGCTTGGGGACTCCATCCCTCTAATGCAAACCTGAACATCCATCTCCAAAGAGGTCTAAAGAGACAGGTAGCAGCAGAGGCACAGGGCTTGGAAAAGGGCCACCAGTGATCCTTGGCACCAGGTGGAATGGAATTCAGAGGTCCATGCAACGCTGCATAAGGGCTCTGGTGTCCTGCTGGGAGCACAACTGCAGCTGTGAAGTATTGCCTTTTGTTCACTAAAGCCATGCATCAAGGTGCCAGCTCATCCAGGGCTCTCCTGCCTTCCCCTTTCCAAGCCCCTGCTGAGTATAAGACAAGCCAATCCCAGCATGCAAAGGATACAGGCATGCAGGCTCTAGTCTGCTACTTCTGTTAGTAAGTGCATCTTGTTAGTGGATTTATGAGACACACTTGAACCTATAAAAAATAAATAATTCTAATTCTTCATCAGGCTGGCCTAAGTAACCTTCAGCCTGGATAAACCACTGCCCACCAGCCCTCAAAACCAGTATAGTTCAATGTTACATTTCATGTCAAGTCTTGGAAGCAGAACATGAATGTCTCCTACCCAAAGGAATATATGTAAACATAACAACAAGCCTGGTGTGGCAGCAGCCCCTGCACAAGGTTTGTACAAATTCAAACAACAGGTAGGAAGTTTAACAACTGAATGGATAAAGATGGTCTCTGAATGGAAAAAACTTTCAGCAAGCCAGAAGGTGCTCATCTGCAGGCAAACAGCTCTGTAGGTGCAGTACACTGGAAGCAGACCTGTTATCCAGATCATTGCTACTCTGCTGCACTGCTGGGAACTGACCTCAGCAACTTGCATCTTAAGATTCCTCCTGG